CGAGGGGTGCCCCTGGGAACCCCCAAGACAAGGAGTGCCCCTGGGTCCCCCATAATGAGGGGCGCCCCTGGGAACCCCAAGACAGACAAGGGGGGGCCCTAAAACAGACAAGGGGCGCCCCCAGGGACCCCCCAAGACAAGGGGCGCCCCTAGGGACCCCAAAGACGGACAAGGAGTGCCCCCAGGAACACCCATAACGAGGGATGCCCCTGGGGACCCCCAAGATGGACAAGGGGAGCCCCCTGGTAACCCCAAGACAAGGAGGGGTGCCCCTGGGAACCCCCAGGACAGACAAGGGGCGCCCCTGTGGACCCCCAAGACAAACCAGGGGCGCCCCCAGGAACCCCCATAATGAGGGGCGCTCCCGGGGACCCCCAAGACAGACGAGGGGTGCCCCTGGGAACCCCCAAGACAAGGGGCGCCCCTAGGGACCCCCCAGGAACACCCATAACGAGGGATGCCCCTGGGGACCCCCAAGATGGACAAGGGGAGCCCCCTGGGAACCCCAAGACAAGGAGGGGCGCCCCCGGGAACCCCCATAACGAGAGGCACCCCCAGGGACCCCCAAGACGAGGGTCACCTCTGGGGACCCCAAGACGGACTAGGGGCGCCCCAGGAACCCCCAATATAGACAGGGGGCGCCCCCGGGGACCCCAAGACGAGGGCGGAGAAGCGCAGGGCCCCCGGGCAGCGCGGGGACGGCGGGGCGACCCTCCGGGTCCCCTTGTCGCCCCGCCGGCCTGCGACCGCGCTCCGCCCGCCGGCCCAGGCCCTATGCAAATGAGGGATCGCAGTTCCGCCAATCACAGGGCAGCTCGCGCCCCTGCCCGCCAATGGGAGCGCGCGGCCCGGTTTCCGGCCGGGGGCGTGGCCGGGCCGGGCTGCGTGAGCTCTGGTGGCTTTTGTGAGTTTGCAAAACCCCGAGACAAGCCCAGTCTCAGGGGTTTCTTGCATTCATCAGGGTTTTGCAAATTCATAAAGCACAAATTGCCGTCTCAGGATTTTGAAACATAAAGCCGCAAGCACGTTCAAGAG